TAAATAAATTATCAGTGCGGCACCGATTTTTGCTAGTGCGGCACCCATGCGGCACTGATTTTACCAGTGCGGCACTCTTTCAGCAGAAATATATCGGCACCGGTGCGCACGGGTGCCAATCGGCACTTGCTGGGCACGGGTGCGCACCGGTGCCAACCAGTGCCAGTGACCGATGGCATGCCATGCGCACCGGTGCGCACTGGCAGTGCCGCACTGGAATTTTTTTATAGGGTAGTAATCAACCTTCAACATTTGGAACAATCATTTCTGTCTGTTTCATATGTCGGAAAAATGAACAATAACACCGAGCTTGGTAAATTCCAATAAGTTCTTGTGTTTTTTTTCAAGGTTGATTTATTTTTTCACTAATAATTAAGACATTAGGCATTTTCCTATGACTTTTTCTTTCTTTTGTCTACTCGTACTCCTACGCATACCTCGATAATAATAAATAAATGTTAGAAGCAAAGAAAAATCTTTATTTAGCATTTTTTTTTATAGAAGGCATGATGTTTTTTTCAATGTCAGTGCCGAGTAGAAACAGATGGTAACAATAGTTAAAACTCATCTAAATAAAATCAATGATAATAAGCAACAAACTCAAAACAACTTATTTAATATTAGAATTGATGAAAGAAATGAAATTATTTCGTTAAATACTAGTTTTCTCTTAGATCTTAAATGTTTATGCTAATAGAATCACTTCATTACGATTGCTATAAGCTGACAATATTAGATCATGTCGAGTTTTGAGCAGTGATTTATCTAGTGTGTAGGCCGGGTAGGCGGCGTCCACCCGAATTTTCGATTCGCCCTCCCGAAAATCAATAGGTGATTTCGTTTTAGGAACAGTTTTTTTAGCCAACAGCCCTTCCAAAAATTTCAACCGCCCACCCGAAAAACAAAACCTAGATAAAACACTGGTTTTGAGGAATCATGATTCTCACTACGATACCTAAAACAGTGGCGTAACTACAGAGGGAGGAGCATTAGGCCATAGCTCAATGCGATTTGAGCCTTGGCCCAATAAGATTTTGAACTAGCTGAAAATTTGAAAAAAGGTTTTTTTGAATCAGTCTTTTCTCGCAATATCATAGTTTGGCTCAGCCGTTTTTTCTCCAACGAATAGAGTTGGTCCAATGTGAAAAAAATCCTAGTTACATCACTGACCTAAAAAGAGAATTATAATAAATTAGTCTACTGCATCCAGTTCTTCAAGCTAACTCCTCCTCACAATTTGTAATTAGATCTCTTCGTCATTTCACAAACATGAGTCGATTTCTGTTTATATTTTTAATTCATTTTTACACTAACGAATAAACATAAAACAAGAAAAGAAAACAAATATAATTTAAAATACGAGATCCAAAAACAAACCACAACAGTAATAATAAAGGATAAACAAGAACGAAGAAAAATTTAGTTCGGCGTTTTTTCTATGGTGATATATAGAACATTCTTTCTTCTAGATAAATTGTAAAAAATGTTAAAACTAAATTATCGTTCCATCGCCGCTTTCGTCTTTAAGAACCACTAAAAAAGAGAAACAAAGGCAGTTTTTAGACATATTTCACCAAAGAAAGTCTGCTAGAGTAGAAGAAGAAATTTCACATTTTCGGCTTTTGCATCGCATTTATTCTATCAATCTTACTGGGGTGACAGTTTCCACTAGAAAGTCTTGTATCTAAACCCTTTTTTAGGCGATTAAAACTAAAGACTAAACGATCAAATTAACAACGCAAACAGAAAGAACATTATGAATATAACCGTTAAAGGCATAACACAAATTTCATTTATACGAACTATTGAATAGAACCCATGAACTTACATCCATGAGACAAACGTATTTAATTTTTGATTGAATTGCCCGAAAATAAATGCGTAAGAGTTTTAAGTCCTTGTTCTATACAACGTGCGATACTTGTATTCGTTTCTTCACTGCTCTTTCCGTGCGGCGTACATCTGTTAGACAAACGAAGGGTCCGTTTTCTATGTACATGTAGCTAAGGGTGAATAAATTTAGGTTAAAGTCATGTAATATCTAAAACTTAATGATACAATAAAGCTAAAATTTTTAATGTTTTCCTAAGAATCATCTTCCATTTACAATTTTTAATAAAAGTATGTTGTCATTAGATAAAATAGTCACTTCAAAAACAATTCTTAACCGATTGCCGAAGACAAGGAAGAAAAACGCTCAAAAAGTAAGCCATAGGGAATATAATAAAAGTTTACAATAGTGTATGATACCACTCATGTTCTAACGTCATGTGCGTCAAGTAAACAGGAAACGAAAGAAGTATTATCTAACCACAGAGAGCGTACTCCAAACCGATCTCATTTTTCGGACATAGAACGAAGAGTACCTAAGTCTCACATCACTTAAAATACTTACACAATAATGTTATTGATTGGTATATGAATTAATTTAACAAAAAAGCCAATAAATCCCATAATAGCAAATCCACTAAAATATAAAAAAATAAATATGAACAATCACTTTAGAATTTTCAGCAAAGCTCGCTTACATTGCTGTTGCCATTGCAATCTTTTGGAATTCTAAAAATGAAAACAATAGTGTTAGTTTTTGTTAACTATAGAAAAATAAATTCCAAGTATTTTACCTTTTCGATCCGGTTTTGTACATTTTTTAACAAGACGATAGGAATCTTTGAGAAATTGTTTACACGGTTCAGTAAATTGCTGGACTTGATCCATAACTAGCTAATCTTGTCAACTGTAAAAGATCTTTAATAGAAGAAAAAATAAAAATGACTATTTTGGCGTAAAATATTCAATCAGATTCTTCTTACACTACACTGTTTGATACTGAGATGGGGAGACTAGAGCTTAGCTGTGCTGTAAAAGGCTGGTCGACTGAGTGAAGAGATTTTTTTATAATATTGACACGTGGATGGTATTTGTGGGGATCACGACTGTGATAAAGTCACACGTGACTATCAATTAAGTGATTAGTATCTTTGCTCTCTACACTAAATATGATGGTTAGTCACTAATTATATCTTTGAATAACATACACTTGTGCAACATCAGTTGTGTAGTGCAAGTACTGTTAAGTATTATGTGACTACCAACTAACTGATAGAGGCAAACAGCAGAATTTTTAAAAATAAATAAGTCTCCTTTGAAATCGACATATTTTCAAAGTATAACACATACCTTTAACAAAAACCAAATAAGATTGTCTTTGGTCGCGTTTGCAAGTAAGATTTAGAGTATCCTATTACGAAAAGCGAGAGACTATTGTACTATACGACATTCGAATCAGCGTGACACTCGAACCAATCAGTACACAAGACAATACAGACGTTGTATGATGACGTTCAAGTGCTTGAATGCGTCAAGGGTAAAATAAATATATTCTAACATACCTCATTAGAAAATATTCGGAAGAATACAAGTCACAGAAGGAATATGACCTTTTTTTGATAGAATGCCACTCAAAGATTGGTATATGGACGGCGTAAATACTGTTTCCATAGGAACCAATGCCGTTATGACTAATATTTCTAGTTTTCATGTTCGTTACTAGTTTCTGTTATAGAAATGCGGTTTGCTGATGAATATGCGTTTTGCTGAAAGTAAATATTACAACAAAAATTTTAACTCTTTGCTAGTAATGTTTTTCAATGATAATCAAAGAAAAACATCTACGTAAAAGGGCGTACCTGGGTGTAACTTTTTGTAAGCAAGATCTTTATTGCAGAGTTCATGAAGATTATGTTATACACTGTTCTTTTCTTGAAACTCATGTAATCTAACTTTCAAGTAATCTAGGAAAGGACAGGTGATCCTCTAAATTGTCGCAGGTTAGAAATTACAAATACATTGTGAGCTGCAGATTTTCTCGTATTACGACAATTGATTGGCTGATAGATAGATTCAACGACTGCAGTCGTTCACCGTCACTCTAAAAGGAAATTTAACTCTTTATCCGCCTTATGCTGGCGTTTAAACTACTGATAGTTAGCGTTGATCTTTAATAAATTGCAAACGTCGATAAATCTAGAACACATCGGGAATCTTCATAGTGTCACTGCAGATTGCAAAATAGGAGCCTTTTAGCTACTAGCGCTATTTTGAAATCATTTCCTGGAGCTAAACGGCCTTTTTTTCTGAAAAATGATGTTTTCTTGAGACATTGATAGTTATACATTGTTATTTACCGTATAAGATATTAACGCAAAGGATCAGTCAGATAAAATCTACTCATAGCTTTCTTTCCCTTTTTTGTATGTTTTCAAACTGATGAGCTAACTACTACTAGAAATGGCTTATTTGTTGTATATTGATTGATAAATCACAATGAAGAACTTGAAAATATTTTTTATTTAATCAATTCGTATATTTCTCCTCGTCACATATTTATAAATACATAAGGAATACAAGGCTAGTTTGTTCAATGTCAACAATATCAACTGAATAAAAATGTAGAATAATCATACTATAGTAAATAACATTTGATCCAAAACTTTTTCTTGCCTGCCTTCTCTAGTAATAGTAGCATTTTGCTGTTTGTACTTACAAACAACAATTTTCTTTACTATTATATCATCAAATATCAGTCGAATTTTTCAGTATTAAAGAGTTGCACTTTTGTTGACTATTTCTGCATAATATTTCAACATGTTATCATCATATTGTACACAAAACTGAAGCAACGAATGAAAATTTCTGTTTCAATATCAATTACTTTGCGTCTCAGTGGTCACGGAAAAAAATCTTGTTTACCACGTGACATAATCTTTGCAAAGATATCTCAATCGTTAATTATTTTCTTTCAATTTCAACTCGAAACTTAGCACTTGAAATAGCCTAGAATGAAAAAACACTTAGTCTATCACTCGGAGAGAAAAGTATAATTTATTTAGTCTATTATCTGCAACCGAATATTCCTTTTCCATAAGAGCGGTGTTTCTAATGAGACGTTGTTTTGAATCCCAAAGTGACACTCTTCATTGGCTAATGCAATGAGATCAGTCAACATAGTGAAATTAGTGCAGTTCAGAAGAAAAAGCAAAGTAGAAATCCTAAGAAACAAAGTGATTAGCAAAGTCGATTTCTCTATTTCCAGTATTGCAATATATAATACTTACGCATACTTTTGAGTGTGGGTTCAGTTCAACAAGGAGAAAAAAAAATGCAGAATTTGTTGATTATCATCAATACCTAACCAGAGTTTCCAATTATTCTTAGGAATGGGAGAGGCTAAAAATTTTACTTCGCAAAAAGTGGCTGACGAAAAAACGTTTTCGAAATTTTTAGCAGAAAGTTGTGGATGGAAAAACGTCAAAGATTTTGCCAGAAAGTCTACAAACTTTTTAAGGGCCAGCACTCGTCTGTCTCCCTTGATCGAGAACCCTGTACCTAACTAAAGAGTTTGGTAAGTTTGTTCAAATTCTTCACATGAGCCATACTATTCGGATGACAGACACCCGTTTCTGTTCATATATCATCAAATATCCGCTTTTGTTAAACATTTTGTCTTTGAGTGTTGAATGGGCTTGACCCCTACTTAACTTTAGTAAATAACACGTACGGATTCTATGTGATTGTAAATGTATTTTCAGCAAGTTATTTTACCAGTGAACGTTTTTAGTGAAAGTACCGGTGCAGCAGAAAACTGACAGAATCGAACTTTGTTGTTGGTTTCAAGTTTTTCTGAGTTTAAACACTTTGCAAGTTACCGATGCAATTTAGTTTTCTATTCTTCTTTCTTGATATCAGCGACAATACCTTTTATATGTTCCCTATTGACTGTTCCGGTATTAAAACTGGGTAGATTTTTTGGGATGCATTCGATACCATGAAACAACACTTTAACTACTTCAAACAACAAAATTATTTTTATTTTTATTTTTGTCAGTGTTATTGTTATTCACATGTGAAGACTTCTTTGCTATTTATTTTACATACAAAATAAAACTTAACAAAAAAACAAATGACACAGCCTAGAAGACTGTACAAATATTTGGAGATACAAATATTCTTTAGTTACTACTGGAAAATAATCAATACAATTTTGTTAATTAGTTTCAGGTGTTGCACAGAAGATTTTTAATGAACATTTGAATATAGCTATCACGTTCTTCTTTTGTACTTTATTTCAACTTTGTTATGCATAGGTTATTATTCGGTCTTTTCACTCCGTCAAAAACGTCATTCCGATATTTTTTTCACTATTTTCGTTCTTTTATATCTTTCGAACGGTAGAATGCCAGGAGTTCGCGACTGTCTCGCTTAGTAGTGAACAGTGAGTTTAACAAAATGTGGCGTGTCAGAGTTTTCAAACGTTCTTTATTTATTTATTTATTCTCGATAGCAAAGAGAAGGGGCGTAGACAAAAGCCGGCAGCTTATAAACGCCTATCCCATGGCACACAAATACATACACAAAGAGAAAGAAGAAAAAGAGAGAGAGGGAAGACACGAATTACTAATTCTTAGAGGAACTGTTGTGTTTTAGAAACAAACAAATTGAAGGAAGAAAGTGTCACACCATCAGGCGCTAAGCTGTTCCAGTCTTTCATTGTCCAAATTAAGAAACTATGACTCATGACCGATGTAGAAAAATTAGGTACTTCAATTTGAAATAAGTACTTGTGAGGAGAATGCTTATTGTTGAAAAAGAAATAAACGGAAATCGGGTCAACGCTGTACATCCCATCAACGTTTTCCAGAAATATTTCCATCGGGCAATTTTTCTCCATTTCGTCAAGCATTCAAGTGGGGAATTTTCTGAAAATTCTGAAGAAAGACGTTGAACTGAATTTAAGGGCGCTAAATGAGTAGAATATGAGCTATCATAGACAATTGCTGCATACTCAAAGGCAGGTCTAACACCAGTCTTACAGAGATGTTTTTTCAATTTGACGGGGGGATGTCGAAAAGTCCGACGTATCACGCTCAACATTCGCCTACATAGGAACTTTTTCAATTTGACCAGCCCATTTTAGGTCATGAAAAATGTAGAGCTCAAGCAACTTGATCTCCTGGTTTAGTTTATATCAACACAACGGAGACAAATTGTTCAAAAAAAGAAATTTCTTTTTAGAATAGTGTTGAATATTTTTCGCAATATCTGTATAATCAAGAGCGTTTGGAAGCGCTGAGATGTCTCATCTTGATAAGCACACTGTTCACCACTAAGCGAGACAATCGCGAACTCCTAACGTTCTACTGTTCGAAAAGATATAAAAGAAAGAAAATAGTAAAAAAAATATCGAAATCAGATTTTTGATCGAATTATGTGAAATGGCCCTATTAATGACTTTACCAAAATGTGTCGCACCTCATCAAAAATACGTCTGATAGATAAATATGAGAATATTCAAAGCAGAAAATTATTTTTTTCCCTTAAAAGTAACATTTTTTATAGAAGAAAATGGCAACAGATAACATTCTTCCGCCAGTAGGTGATAGTATACAACAACGACAATTATCTAAATCTAAGAAACGTAATACAATTATATGTCGAAGTAAAGAGACAACAGCAACTACAGTAACAACAAAATTATCGTTTACTAAAGATTCATCTCTACTATCAAAATCAAGCATTTTTCCTTCGACTGGTATGTATACATCTAAATTTTCAATAAAACTCGTCTAAAATAGTATATTTACTAAGTAAATAGTATATTACTAAAATAGTATATTAATTATATTTGTAGAACGCGAATCAAAATCACCACAATTAGCTCGAAGTAGACAAAAACAACAACAAGCACCGAGACGTGAACGTACAGCAGCTAGTCTACAACCAAATAATCGTTTACCAATGTTATATTCAATAAGTCAGGAAATTAGACGTGTACCAGATGAACAAAGAAAACAGGTAATAAAGTACTCCTATTTGACAAAGTACTTCGCTGTATTATTTTTCGTGGCTTTAGATATACGCATTAAATCGTCTGATGCGTAAACTAGAACAAGAGAGATTTCAAAACTTTTGTCGACTCAATGGTATACCCGTAGAAGAAGGCGATGAGATCGCGCTAGCACCACCAGCACCTGTCATTGAAATAGAAAAAGTTGAATGATATAATTATTGACGTAACATTATAACGAATAATATGATGATACTTTGCAACAATTGGCTCTCAAATCAAATATATGCTAGTAATAGATTATTAAAGTGTAAAAAATTCGACAATAATACAATGTCATAAATAATTCAAAAATGATAAATTCAGAATGCTGATAAAAAAATTATTTTCTTCAATGAATTTAGCTCTCGTCTCAATATATTTTTCAATTACTACTGTGTATTTTTACTCGTAAGTTTTCGAAAATATTTTTTATGTTAACTGATAAAATAATTAGAAATAATCTTATTTATATTATACTATGGTCTTTCAAGTTTACATAGTTCGATATTTAGTATAGAAAAGTTACGTATTTAATGTACAAGAAATTTCACTATATTTATGAGAAAATTTGATCACTCATTTTCGATCAATTATTTATAATCTATTTCTATTCATCTTACTAGTAAAATTGTTAACATGAATATACTTCATGTTCTTTTGAAGTAACAATAGTGATATGGATAACTAGTTTAATTTGTCTTTTTCTTATTTTCAAAACGAGTTGCATCGAGTTTGCCTTGAATGTAACTGGTTATGATCATATTTTTCTATCAAATCAAGATCTTCTCTTAATTGTATTAATAAATCACTAGAATCTTTATTTCTAATTTCTTTTAGTTCAACAAGTTCTCATTAAAAAGTTTTTAAATAAAATGTTCTTTACTGGATGTGAACATTGTTCGAAATCATTTTGCACAGAAAAATGTCGAAAACACAAAAATTTTCATCGTAAAATATTTATCCAAAACAAGGAAACATACAAACGTATGCGTTCTCTTAAATCCAAACATTTAATCATATTTGATAAAACACGGTTCAAATTTAATTCAATTTTCTAAATATTTTGTAAATATGAAATATTCTTAGAACAGATATTTTTTTTCAGAGATTAAAGTAAAGCCAATAGGTATGTGATAGGTTGCACTTGATATTGAAATATAAATAGTAAATTGTACAAAGCGAACTATTTCTTTCACTCATACACTTTTCTAAACATGTACAGTCATACTATGAAGACTACTTAGAAACATAATGCATGCCATACTTACATACTGTTCATTCAAGGAGGAAACAGCTGATTGAAATCAGCCCAAAAGCAATTGATTTTCAGTAATCCTCTACGATTTCTAATGACTTTCAGTCATTTTCAGTGGCTTTTCATTTGGTGAAAATCAGTAAAAATCGGAAAAACCCAAAAATCAGCTGTTTTCCCCTTGCATTCATTATATAATGAGAAAACTCAAATGTAATATTTATTTCACAACAACTACATGAGTTTTTTTCGTGTTGACAATATGACATTGAGAGAAATAAAAGAACAACAGCAACAATAACAAAAAAATAAATAAATAAATAAGTAAATTAAAACGGTCACTGTTTGTTTATACAATAAAACGAGAGAAAATAAAAACATACTCGCGCACATCCCACATCTACACAGTAGGGAAAAAAATAAATAAATTTAGTCGGTATTTTTTTTTTTTTTGATTAAGAAGAAACAAGGAGTGAAACAGGAATGTGTATGACTGTATGTGAATATTGCACATAAAAAAACAACAATAACAACAATAATTAAAAAGAAAAGAATGTCTATAAATCCCAACTAAATAAATGATGTTTAATTAACATATCTGTTACACTAGAACAAACGTCAAGTTGTTTATAACCCATAGGTAATTCATAATCTTGTTGTAATGTAAATGAAAATTGTTGTAATACACGTAGATCACATTTAATTTGAACCTAAACAAGAAGAATAAATAGAAATAAATATTATTAATAAAATTTTATTTACTTACCCAACATGGTGATCTTAAAAATGAATAGGGTAAATACCATTTATTAATGATTTGTGTACATGAACATAATGTTTCTAACCATAAATGTAAAACTTGTTCATTTAATCCAAGACAAATGAATGAACGAAATTTAACATCCATTTGTGCATGAGCCAAATTATGTGTATAATTTATTGATCTAATAGATCGACATAATAATTCTTCTGGTGTTAATATTCGTCCATCTTCATCGAGACGATAGGTTTTACACAATATTAATCGAGCATAAACACTATCAAAATCTTTATTAATGGTATACAAAGCTGCTTCTTCAATAAATAACCATGGATGACATATACCACCTAGAAAAACAGAAGATTAATAAAAGAAAAAGACAAAAATTGACGAAGAGTTATTATACGAGATAATACGGAATTAGTCAAAGTTATTCTGACCCAAAAAGTGACCCAAAAAGTTCTACTACTATTACATGCGCAACTAAGGTGTGCGAAGTTTGAAAATTCAGCAGGTCTTTATTTTTTTTGTACATGATTGAATAGAATGCATCAAGCTGATTCAGAAAATATGTGTTTTAAGGTTTTAATTTTTGAAATTGAAAATAATTGAAGGGTCTAACTTTTCAAAAATACCCTTCAGTCGCAAAAACACTCAAATTTTTTTCTTTTTCCTTCTTCAAACATTTTGAAAGTGTTTTTTTTTCAGATTCAGCATGAAAAACTGATATGTTTAAGCGAGGCTGAACTGAAATATTAAACGAGCTTTCAAAGTACAAATCGCTTTTATTTATTTTGTTTTGTCACTGAGAAAATTCATTTTTCCTAGATAAGGGTCAAAAAAATCGTAATTTTGCCTGTAATTCTCAATTGTCTCCATCAGAATTCATCTTTTATGGAATACAAATACCATATTCGGTATTAGTGTCAAAAACTGAGTCCAATGATATACTTTTATTTCTATCTGACTATTTTAAGTTTTCTTGAATTTTTACGTCGAAAAATCACTAAGATTTTCACTCAAACATGAAACTCAACAAAAAAAACATGAAATACAGATCATTCGACTCAGTCTTGGATGCTGATTTGGATTATGATATTTGTATTCCATAAAAGATGAGCTCTAATGGAGACAATTGAAAATTACAGGCAAAGTTACGATTTTTTTGATTCCTCCAAAATGAATTTTCTCAGTGACAAAACAAAATAAATAAAAGCGATTTGTACTTTGAAAGCTCGTTTAATGGCAGTTCTAATGAAGCAAAATACTCGGCTTCGTCTCTTCACAACAAAAACTAAATAGGTTTAAAAAATTGTTTATGAACTTTTTACAGGGAGAGTCCAAGATATCCATATTGGATAGACCTTTGACTTTTCAAACATTAAAACGTGTATTTTCTGAGTCAGTTCGATGCGTTCTATCCAACCATGTTTAAAAAAATGTAAAACTAAAATCTGGTGAATGTTCGAATTTCCAGCACGTGATAATTAATAGCAGCATGTATCTTACTTACGTATACTCAAATAACTTCGTCCAATTTGATGATCCGTGTGATTGAATATAATCTATAATTTTTAAAGGTGAAACCCTAACACGGATATAATATTTCCAACTTCCACATAAGAACAAAAAAAGGTCAGGAACTGCAGCGATTGACGGATTACTTTCGTTTGTCCTGCTCGTCCCAACACCCAAATATTAGAAACTTAGCATTATCTTACCAAGTACGGCTGATGATTTTCTTAATCCATGTTCAAACAATTGTTTAATATTTGTTGCCAATTTTCCTCTCACTAAATCTGATATCGTTTCATCAACACTATCATCACCAGCTAATGAATAGGATTTTGATCGTTCATCAACCAATTGTACAAATTTTCCTGGAAACCAACCTTGTTTACCATTTAATTCACCAATCCAACAGTGTTCATCATTCATCGATAATATTTTAATAATATCATTTTTTTTAAAACCTAATTCATTTGAATCTTGACATTCAAAATCTAGTAGTGCTTTTGCTCGTTTACATTTTTGTAATGAAATATTTGCATAATGTTCATGATCTTTAACGTGTGACTCAATGGAATAATCAACATTTAAATCAAAAGTCGAAGAATTTGTGTTATCATTATCTTTAAAATGTTTAGCAATTTTTAAAATGGAATCTCGAAGATTTACTAACATTTCGGTTTGTTGAATATTACGTTCAGCTAACGATTGAATTGAATGAGTTTGAGATGTTGTAAAACGTCTAAAAGATAATTTAACATGTAACTGTCTTCTTTATAAAAGAGAAAACATGACATCGACACTTATTACTCAATAAAACATTTTTTACCTGTATAAACCTCGTAAACCATGCCGTCGTTGTAAAATATCTTTGGGTAAATTTGTAACTTGTGCATTTGGATTAATCGTAAAACCTTCAGCTGACATTAATTCGGCCATCAATTTTTTTCTATACGTATCAATTTGTTGTTGTGTTAAACCATGAGATGTTTGTATAAATGTTCGTTGATCAAATTCAAACAGTGATGGTAATTCACATAAAAAATTAAATATTTGTGCACTATTATCTAATTTTAATAAAATAGGTTCATGTTGTTTAAGTAATGTAAGACCAATTTGAAATAGAACAATACTACCATTCAAAAAAAAATAATCCCATATCCTTAGAGTAAGACGAATATGAAATACATTGGAATATAATGTAAGAAACCATTGAAAACAGATAAGTGTTAAATCAATATCATGTTTAAGAAATAATTCGTTAATTTGTGGAAGATAAATTTGAATTAAATAACGAAATACACGAATATCAACTTGAACACCGAAGAGTGAAACCGAATAATATTGACCGGGTAATAGATCTTCAACAAGTGTACACATCATCCAAAATGTATCTTCTTCTTCATAAAATAATAACAATGTGCCACAAATAACACCTGTACCTTGACAATAACCAATATCTACACACACACACAGACTACATTAAATATTGTTAAAAAGAAGATAATTTTTTGTCTTACCTGGAAATAGCCATGCAATTGCTCGCAATATTCTTCTCAATCTTGATATTCCACTTGAATTCATTTTCATAAAACACACATTTGTAGGTAATGTCCTCAACAAATCTTTTTCAATTTGTTTCGAATACAATTGTTGATCATTATTACAATGTTTAAGAATATCTGAATAACTTAATTTAGTCGAATGTTTTTTTTTCAAACATCCACTTAGACACATCCACAACAGAGGTCGTTGAGAATGTGGTATGCCCATTGGAGATTCGGATAAGAGTTTAAGAAATTTATCATCTTGTTTAATTTGCTTTGGTTCAATTTGAAGCAGTTGCTGTTCTGTAATACCATTGACAACATCTAAAAAATAGAATATTTGTTAATTTTCACTATGATTTTTACCTCATTGTGTACTTCTAACCTAGATGATACGTCGAATCTAGAAAACTTAACCATTTTAATTTTTGTTGTTCATTTTCAATATAAGGTATATATTCCCGACGTTCTTGCTGATGTTCTTCATCTCCACTTTCTTCATCATACGATTCAATTCGAAATCCAAATTCATCATACTCGACTGTTTCATCTTCGAGTGGCGTTTTACGTAACAAATGTTGTGGCACCAATGATGGAACTAATGCTGAGAAAGCAATATTGGCACTAGGTGTTACATGTGTGTTGTCATCGTCGTTGTTAGTTTTACTACCGTTTGTAACATTTTGTAGGCCAACCGCGGAATGTGAATAATAACTATCCTTTTCACAATAATGTGAAAAAGCATGAGAATTGTGATGAGATGAGTTGTTCAATGAGGAAGGTGAAAATGTAGAAGAATATGAATTTGAAAGATTTAACATTTTAACATTATACTCTAAGGGAGAACAGACACAAATAATTAATCTAAAATAATATAAATGTGAAACTCGACTTGAATAATTATATTTAGTTAATTTTACAACCGCTTTGTAGTTACTAGAGACTCAGACAGAATTCATTTATGAAAGAATCAAAAGAAAGTACCACGACCGGTTTCGACCTTTCTCAAGGGCCTTATCAGATGGTTTCCTTCGAGAAAGACAGAGCTAAGGCATGACAAGCAACACAACTCCGTCCACACCGTATGAGGGTGTTACTATTCCATGTTCTTATCGAACAAAGAACGATAACTTTCACACGACAAGAGTGAAGCACGATATCACTGTACAATGCACATGTTCTGCTTCTCTACATTAAGTATTTCTTTTCATTCTATCAGAAACGATTCATCGTTTTAAACTTAAACTGTATCTAGTAACTTTCACGCAACAATCATTGAGACAAATGTGAAAAGCACCATACTTATGGTTCAATCGTGGGAAGTGGTCACCCATCCTCTCACTAGTCAAGCTCGTTTACAGTGGAGAAAGACAGAATTAGTCCCAATTCTCCGATGAAACCACCTGACGAGACCCTTGAGAAAGATCGAAACCGGTCGTGGTATCTTCTTTTGATTCTTTCAGAAATGAATTCTGTCTGAGAATTCTGTCTGAGTCGAAGACATAATTAGACAACAAACGAGAATATTATCAATTAATCCGGAACGCTCACCTAGTACCGTTTTTCTTTCTAAAGTTCGGCATTAGTTATCGGCTTCATTATGTATCCAACAGTAATCATGTCAATGTGAAGTTCATTTAGAGCTGAGAGAAAGTGCTTTTTCATGTTCAGCACACTTGATAAAATCCAGAATATTCTCTATTTTTGGCGAGAGTTATTATTATATCAAATTTTAGAAAAATTTTAATGGTATTTCGCCCTGAAGATTTTTTCTCGCCATTTTGTTTGAAAAAGTTTCCTGAACTTTTGGCGGTACACTTTGCTAAAAATAGAAAATCTTGTGGCTTTTATCAAGCGGGCTGAATACGAAAAAAGCACTTTTTCACGACTCTAGATGAACTTTATTTTTCTGTAGGTGATATATTTTGCAAAGATTTCGATACGTATAAATGTACAGTCGTTTCATTTTCTAAATTCAACCAAACTATTAACGTTAATAACAGTTTACGTATTCACGAGCATGTCAAGAACGTCTTGAAAATGAGACTGAATTGAATGAATGAAAAAGACTATCTCAGAGTACAAGTTGAAAATCTAGTTTCAAAGGAAAAGTCGATTCATCCAGTGCCTTCTTATCCTATGTGCTAATTGTGCTATAGCACAGGGGCCCAATCGAACGGCTTAAGCCTTGCATTTTGTTATTATTAAAAAAAATACAAATTGGTGTGTTGAAAACGTTAATGATCAGCACAGGGGTCACAAATTTCTTAAAAACGGTTCTGGATTCATCTTAATTATTGTTTGTATATATTATTTTTTTTTTCAATTCTTATGTGCTTTTATTCAACTACTACCTATTATTCATTGCTCCATCTTCCAAACCAATGAAAATGGGAGAGTAACTTGTTTGCATCAGTGAACCGGTTGTCACTAAAAACAGGGAAAAAAAGGAAAGGAAAGTCATTGTCTACGACGAAGACACATTGTCCTAGGCAATGATCTTTCCTTTCCTTTAGGGATCATGAGTGAACCTGTTGTAAACAAGCTCCTGCCCTCTAATCGGTTTCAAAGGATAAGTTTATCTTTCTGATCAAAATATTCTACTTGACTACTGGCTTAAATGTATCTTTTGACAATTCTTAACTAATAATATTGATAACTACCAAGACTATTTCGATCGGCTCTTACGCGATTTAAGTTATTCAATTTATCGCTTGATCACCGATCACTGAGACGAGGTAATTCAACAAAAATGTATTCAGTGTCTGAATGTCAAAGAGATCTATATGCCCAATCGTTTTTAATTAGAACAGTGAAAGGGTGCAAAGCACTACCAAATTCATTCATACTCTCTCCAACAGTAAGATCATTTGCCATCAATCTAGAACAGTATTTATTACTTTAATATTATATCTTTTCTAACTCTTTCTTTGTTGTCGATGTCACTTTTAGGCCCATCTTCTTTCATTTCTTTCTCCTTAATTAATTTCACTTTGTTGCTTCTTGTTCCTTTTTTTCATTTGTTTACTTATTTTTATAGCTGGCGTAACAAGTTACATATTTATATGTAACTTCCATCATATCCGATACTCAAGCACTTTTCATTTAATGGTAACATGTGATTGATTTTGACAAATAATTGGAATGAAGTGAAATACGGTCGATTATGCATCGTAGACTGATTCAATCTAAAGATTTCTGTTCGGTTTACCGATAAATACAGCAATGCTTAACCAATCATTTTTCAATAAACGTTAGCTCATACTTCTGCCCTAATTTGAAGCGATTGGTAACTTTCTATTACAAAACCCAGCAGTTAACTTGAAATACATCCCTGAACTTTACGTGAGCCAGATGAACTAAGCGCAAGACGTAAGGCAAAACTATACTGTGAAAGGAGCATTACCTACTATTTCGCAATTAACTTCATCATGAGAACTGAACAGCGCCATCTTTAGTCCGTATCAAGATCTGTCAGCTCTATTGGGTTCGTGCCCTAAACAAAACTGCTTTCGAATACATATCGACGAATTTGTGTACACCCATGTTAAGTGCATAACTCATGTGATTCTTTCGACCAATCAAGGAAACTCATTTATTCTTTTCTCCACTTTCTTTGCACCATCAAACTCGTCATTGTTATTGCCTCATTGTCGTCATATTGGTCATTTACCATGTTTATAGTTGTTTAGTCTGATCTATTCGTTATTTTTCATTTCTTATGATCAGGTGGCATCACATTTTCAGTCATTTTGTACAGCCACTCCATTGTGGTTTTGTCTGCTATTTTACTTATAACGAGGATGTTGCACTGTCACTCTAATCTGACTAGTTTCGGTTTTCTTTCAGATCTTCGACCTCGGTTTGTGATTTGTCTGGCATTTTATATCGAGAAAGTTGTTTATTTCTAGCGCAACAATTGTCTTTTCAAGCGTATGTGAATTGGATGAGTGATATCGATGAACACCTCCGATTCTAAAATAGCTGAATTTTACTCTAACTAACGGTGTGCTTGATGGTTGCATTTTGTAGTCAACCAAAACTCGGTGTTTGGTTTTGACATTAACTGAGATTCTTCTACATAACATTCAAAGCATTAAAATATACCAGTTTTCAAAATTAGCCCACGTATAAATCTATTCTAACGTCAGGATAGAATACGGATTGAAACAAAATTGATGGATAAGTTCTGAATAATAAGATTAACAAAACTATCATTCGCAGCTTCGCTCAGTCATTCTCCTGTATTTTTTTTAGAGAATAAAATGGCTAGCTCTGGAACAGCGCCAATGGCAACGGACGATGCTCCTACTACTCAATCATCTACAGATTCGGCCACAGGTTCACGAAAACGTTTCGAGGTTAAGAAATGGAATGCTGTTACACTGTGGGCGTGGGATATTGTCGTTGATAATTGCGCCATATGTCGTAATCATATTATGGATTTATGTATTGAATGTCAAGCAAATCAAGCGGCGGCGACCAGCGAAGAATGTACAGTTGCATGGGGTGTTTGTAATCATGCTTTTCATTTCCATTGTATATCACGATGGCTGAAAACACGTCAAGTCTGTCCATTAGACAACCGGGAATGGGAATTTCAAAAGTATGGACGGTAGAGCAATGGGTGCATTTCAAACGAAACATAACTTTTTTCTCCCTTTGTCTGTTCATTTGTATTTCTTTCGCCCAAGCGAATAGGGGAGACGACGACGCTCAGTTGTTGTTATGCGCGTTTTTTCCATGACAACAAGAGACTTTTCGATTTCGGCTTTGCTCTTCTTTTTATTTTCTCTTCTGTATTCATGAACTAGTTTAACCATGAAGAAAAAGAACAGGAAAATCTGAGATCTTAACGAGTTTCCTCAGGCGAAAAGCTGAGTTGGCCAAAGCCTGTATCACAAGTACATCATGAGATTAAGGATATAAAGAAAATCAGACTCATCCGGTCGTGCAGGGAATGTGACTTATGAGATTTCTGTCGTAGTTTTAGTACCGCTTTGTAGTTACTAGAGACTCAGACAGAATTCATTTATGAAAGCATCAAAAGAAAGTACCACGATCGATTTCAACCTTTCTCAAGGATCTCAGCAGGTGGTTTCCTTCGAGAAAGACAGAGTTAAGGCACGACAAGCAACAAAACTTATAATACAACAGAAATCTCATATGAGACTACAAAATAAATGATTTTAAACTAAATAATATCACAAAGGATATTATTATTTAACCGCTATGCAATATGGACAGATTAAGACAAAGACAAAACGTTTAACGTGATTACCCATGTCGTTATTTGTCACAAGAGATGGACAAGTCCGAAAAAACAGTATTTCGTGTGAAATAAACTAGGATATGGTCACTTTGGAAACTCCTTGGGCAAAACTAATTCTTTGATTCTAAGATTTGATTTCGCCTTTTGTTTTGAATCTTTTATAGCATCCGTAAAAAAGCTGAAAACCCGTTTTTTTGTAGCGCCTCCTAGGAGTACACGAAGGATGACGTGCAGTATTGTACGTCAAAACGCTCCCGGACGGGCGATCCCAGAAGTAGGATATAACTAACTTGTCACAGTTATTGTATGAGTTGACAGCATCCAGGTTCGAGACAAGTACATTGTAGTATGTGACAAATATAATCACCAAAACGATCATGGATCAAGCAACGATGTTTAGATCAAGTACCACTATGACTGTATTAGAGATGTGCACGGGTACCATTTTCATACCCGTACAGATGAAGCCTCTAGATATTAATTTTCGACTTGAACGACACGCCATTAGAAAGAGCGCTGCTTAATCTATCTCTAGTGTAAATATCTTATTGGGTTAAGGTTTCTAGGTGTACCTTTGACACTCAACAAGTCGGAGACGGAAAAATCCTTTCGTTATTGGAAATTTCAGGGCCGAACCGTTGCCCAATCAGTTTGATTCTTACATATTAAACAAACATATAAATTGCATTCATAGTTCATCAAAAATGCTTCCCTGTGAAACGGCGGCCAAAACAAAAAATAGGTCGAAACCCATTTTTTCAGAGGTTTTGACTCTCAGCTGCCATGAGAAGGGCCTGTCATGGTCTGAATGACTTTATCTATATGTAATTCACTGTGCTTTGTCCAAATAAATAAGAATTCAAACTGATTGGGCAACGGTTCGGCCCTGAAATTTCCAATAACGAAAGGATTTTTCCGTCTCCGACTTGTTGAGTGTCAAAGGTACACCT